TGTTCCGATGAGCATGAACGGTATACGAGTGGAGCGACTGAGCGATAACACGCAGAGCGTCACACCACATGAAAGTGAAACCTGAGCAGTAAACTAATTTTCGGCAGCCGAAATTTCGGTGCATCTCTAATTATTGGTGACATCAGAAATTGATATTATATAATAGATGCTTTTCTGAACATTTTAGCAAATTAAAAATATTTTAAAAAATGTTCACCCCGGTTGGGAAACACTGCTCTAACCCAATAATGTTGGGGGATCCAGTGGGGGCAGCACTCATATTTCAGGGTGACCATGCCACTCTTTATCACAACCCTGCTAAAAGTGCCAGTACGTGCGCTCATTGGCGCCCTTCAGCTGGTGGCGCCCTAGGCGACCGCCTAGCTCGCCTATGCCTAGAAATGGCCTTGCATGTCATGCTGTTAGATTCAGGAACAGAAAAAGGATAAATCTGTAGGTAGCAGCTTGATCCAAGTGTCTTGAGGTTTGGCTGCTTTCCTCTTCACATGGTTGGTACTCTCGAAGACTCTTTTCTTTGTAGCACCACACTGCATAACGGTACATGAGAAGACACTGTGGCCTATATTCAATCTCCAGCTGCTCACAAGATTCACAGTTCAAGATGCTTTTAATGGACAAGGAACCATGTTTGACAGTGGCTGACCTCAGCACAAACAATCAATCAAGTGATCTGTTCAAACAAACACATAACATAATACACAAGAGAGTTGCTGTAATTAATTGTTAAAGCCTTTCCAAATCCAAAATGCGATTCTTCAGAGCCTTATCGATGCCATGACAAAGACAAACTCTCTTCCCAGCTACTTTTGTGATGACCGAATGACCAGACACTTTCCAAAACGGATGTTCATATTGTTCATACAAATCGAAAGAGCTACTCTTATTCTTTCACTGCGTCTGACAGCTTTCTCAACTGTTGGCCATGAGCAGATTTAACGCTCAGTCATGAGCTGCCACTGCTGACTGTAAATTGTGTAACACTGCTAGACCCAGAAAAGTCTTCTGTGAAATAGAAAGGTCTGAGATGTGGACTGGATACGTTTGTAGATTTACTGAGACAGTGTAGTAATATGCCAAAGCAAATAGCTAAATATCCCAAACGAAATCGTCAACACTTCCATAAACCAGTCAGACTGAAAAACCTTGGACACCAAGTAATGCAAGGGTTAAAATCCTAGAGACAGTCGAGGCGTCAGTAACACACTGATGGGTAAACTAAAGTCATACTATCCTTGCCAATACACATATTTCAGAAAAGACTGATTATATAACTACTACAGATGGAGCATAGTATGGTACTGTACCTTCCATCTACATTCAGTATTGCACATAATAACAAGAAGTGCCAATACTGCATCTTGAAAGGACAGTGAGATCTGTCTGGGATTGTATCTGGGCTATTTAGACTTAATGAAGTCACTTGAAGAGCACTGTCCTGTGTTGACAAGAAGTTTAACAGGACAGGACATTCAGAAGGATTCGTTATCTTTTATTAGTAAATAGCCAGTAACCTTTATTTACGTCACCACTGTAAACCATGATTGGCTCATGCTATTGCTAGTTGTGGCAGGCAAGGGGTTAGGGTTATTGTGTTAGGTTAGTTAGTTAACAGCTGCCGTCTCCTTTGACACCCATTCAAATGCAGATTTGTAGGCTATTCCCATTAAATATTTTTTGCAAACAATATATGAAGCACTAAAATTTCACTTTAAAGTCACAATGAAATAAAAGTAGTGACAGATCTTTTCTTTTGTATTGTGACTTACAGTACATCTGAGTGATTATTGAAAAAGCAAAACAGGTGAGTACTTGGTTCTATGCATCAGTTGTTGATTGGATGTTGAGATGAGAGCGTGGCATTCAAAAGTGAGGTTTAAAGGAATAGTTAACCCAAAACATTTTTTGCTGAAAATGTAATCACCATCGGGCCATCAGAGATTAGGATGAGTTTTATCTTCATCAGGTTTGTAGAAATGTAGCATTGCATCAGTGTCTCAG